AAAAAAACTTTTGAAAACGTGTTATGCATTCTAAACCGAATTTTTGTTCGCTTTTATATTCCAAGGATACGAAAACTCCTAGCCATTTAATTTGCAGTTACATAGTAGCAATTTCTAAATGCTCTGCACTTCTCGTCTCCCTCCCTCGTACCACCGACAGTTTTAAAATGAAATCAAATATTCATTGGCAAATATAATTGTCCAACTGTGTACTTGGCCCGGCTTGGCCTTTTAATTAAGTTGCCAGCTCGGCAAATAGCTGGCACTCGGCATTCGCATGCATGTTGTAAATGCTCTCCATGTGATTTCCCCACTGGACTCTTTAGTGCCCTGGAACATGGGCTAAATCGAGGGAGAAGAACAACTCGGATATATATATATATATGAATAGCTGGCTGGGTGGCCATAAAACCTACGTCAGAAATCGACGCAAGCGACGGTAAAAGTACAAATGATAATAATAACTGCCATATATACCAGTACTTAACAATAAAAACCAATGGCAACAAATATTGATAAGTGCAATTTGAAATATTTGCACAACGTTTAGTGGCAAACATTGTAAATTGCATTTAGATAAAGTGTTAGTTCTATATTTAAATCGACATGTTGCACTTGAGCAATTTTTGGCCAACTACAATTGAGATCTCATTTCAAATTATGGCAATGAATTGGCTATTATACAAGTACCATAAGAGTCTTACTTAATTATTTATTTAGGTGGAAATTATTTTCATAAAATCAAGGTGTCAAGATGTAATCAATGAGTTTTGAGATGGTAAGTTACAGATTATTTATCTTGTATTTCCATTTAAGAAAAATTTACAAATTTCCTGAAAAATCAAGCCCTTTTCTTAGACAATTTTCACACTTAAGCTAATGAGGCTATTATTGGTTCAAATTGGGCTTTGCATCTATTGGCCTATTGTCTAATGGCAACACTTTATGGCTTTTTAATGAGCCCCCGAAATGTGCGGGCCATAAATCAAAGCCTTAGATGAGATGGCGGCTCTAATGGTTGGGAGTTTGTATAAGTTAACACATTTACCACCCACCCTTTAACCCTTGTGAATGAACACACACACACACATACTCATATGCAATCGTAGTCGTATCGCATTATGGCAAAGCTTATCGATAACTCAGCATCGCCAGCATCGATGGCAATGCCTGTCTCCTGCCTAATGCCGTTAAATCCTATCAATTTTCCTCACCCGGCAACAAATTTAAATATTTATGCTGTGGCTTAGGCCTGCAACAATAACAAAAGGCAGGGTTAAGGCAAAGGTTCAAAAATTGGCAATAAAAAAGTTTTTGGGGTAAGAGCATATTAGGAAGGTTGCCTAAGCAAATTGAACCCAAGAGCGTCCAAGCACTTAATTGAACCTATCAATATGTAAATATACATATTATATAACCATGTGTTTATTTGGGAATTTCCTGGTTGCTTTCTCATATATGTTTCTTATTTTACTTTCATTTTATAATCAATCAGTTTTGGCTTACATCTGCTAGGAATCCGCTTTAAGAAAGGGTCCTAAAAGTTCTCCCCTCCGGAATTTCGGAAGTTTAGTGGACACGTTCTGCTTCTCAGAAACTATAAAACTTAGATTGTCTTTAATTAGGAATTTTATTCGGCTGGCGCTCAACTTCAGACGGTTTTAGTTTATTAGCCGAAATACGTGCTTCAGGAAAAAGCATGAGGTCGAGAATTTGACTTACAAAATAAGTTATTGAAGGCTTCATTGATTGAAGAATTCATTTTTAAATATAACGACTTTCCTAGCTTTATTTCATATTTTTTTTATTTGTGGTCAATTTAAGTCAAAAATAAACCTTAACTGCAAGGGGAGTAGCACGTTCTTTATAAATAAAAGTCATATAAATTCCACCTTAATTAACTGCTGTCTCACATATATAAAAGTATAGCATATCATTCAGATTTTTGGCCAACATAACTCCACTTGCGAGGCATCGCATTCCGCGCCACTTTCACTTTTTCACGTTCATAAATTTTGCAGTGTCTGCGGCATGTCAGAGCTCGCTTTTCCCTTGCCAAACCATTTTCCCATGGAGTGCGTGATGGCAACGGCAGCGAGCCGAAAACGAGAAAAATCTGTCAACGGCACTTTTCACTTTCCCTTGATGGTAGCCCCTGCGCGATTCCGCCACTCACGGCAGCATGTTGTGCTGTTTTATGCCACTAAATATGCCAAAGCGCGCGTAAATTGATTTAAACACGGCGACAAGGACGAGGTGGAGCAAGAGCAGGACCAGGACGAAGACAAGATAGAGGTGGCATCTCCAAGCCGATGATGCTTATGTGGGTACGTGGGTGATGGGTGGTAATGGTGGATGCGGCTAGATGGGCACTTTGAGGGCGGCCTAAGATCCTCTTTAAAGTTGGTGCTAATCAGGCCTTTGCCTGGCTTCTGCTCCTGCTTCTGCTTCTGTTCCTTCACTTCAAACTGTCAGAAATTACTGCTTAAATATTTGCATAAAGGATATCAACGAATTCCACGAAGAAAGCAACGGCATTTCACTGTATTTCCCAGTATTTTGTCATAAAATATTTTGATAACAACTAAAAGAGTGGGCGGCTAGACAGAATTTATATTTTCCTTAAGGGCATATGCAAATATATGGCGCCCACATTGTTGACATCGTTTTAACACAAAGTTAGTCACAGCCAAAGCAAGTAGCTAGTTAGTTTTCGTAGTATGTGTCATAAAATAAAGAGCTTAATCAGTAGGCAGAAGCTATTGTGTTTAAGTAAAAACATTTCTCAAAAATAGTTGGAAGAAATCTTTGGTTTAGTAAATATTAATCTAACTTTTTAACTTTATACTTCCATAGTTTTAATAGTTGAACATTTTTTTTGGCCTGAATATGTTTGCCTAAACACATCCCTTGGGCTGAATGTTTGCCAAGTCATGAAACATACATTGACATATTTTTTCGGAGTAAACAACAATATTGTCTCTCGGCACCTACCTCAATTGTCAATAAACTGTCGTATAAATAAACGCGTCTGCGTTATTCCAGTTGCTAGTTGCCATAAACCGACCGCCCATATAACTGGCCTTAATCAACAACAGGCCAACGTCAAACAATATTTTAATCAGGGTGGCCCTGCGCCTCATCGGGCCTTTTGGCCATAAATCTCAAACAAACGAATATAGAGGCCGAAAAAAAATAAGTTTCCAGAAAAAAAAATCAATTGGCCGTAGTAAGTTTTACTTGTTATGCTATGGATTTTCCGGCAAATCCTGCGTCATGACCTCCACGGATGAGGATGATTATGCCCGAGAAGTTGTCTTGGACATTTGATTATTATTATTAACACGTGACTGAAACGGGGGGCTAATTCAAGCGAGAATTTAATTAAAAATTTTTTACCCTTAATAACTGGCCGAGCGAAAGTCGTGGATTGAAGAGTGCAGAAAAAATAAAGAGGAGAAAGAATAATAGAGGGGACGGAAAAGGCAGTTGGGGGAGGCGGTAAAAAACGTGACATGGAGCGCTGATGGCCTACGATTTTCCTGCCATTGTCCGGATGACGTTGCCCGTTTTGGTTACGCCTGTAAATTGTTCGATGGTCGTTTACTCGCTTCTCCTTTTATGAGCTTTCCTTTTTTTTTTTAATTGTTCGCCACGCATTCGAACTCGGCTCGTCCTTATCGTCCTTATACTGGCAAATGGATAAGCCGGCACGCAGAATGAGGATTCATTGGCCGACGCTTGAGGAATGATGCTGCAATTTCATTGATGTCCTTGGCCGGACCATTAATTGTTTAATTTATTGAGCCACAAACGAGTTTTATGAAGCTCATGTCATATAATTTAATCAACTTTGTGGTAGTTTTCCAAAATATATATATATATATATATATGGTAGGGGAAGATTTCGGATCAGGTCAAATCGATCTTGCAGATGTCAAAACTTTTATTGTTATTGAAATTCCGAAAAATACAAGCGAAATTAGAACAAAACTTTTAACTCAATTACAAAGTCATTGAAAAACAAATTGCAGGCAGAAGCAGAGCGAAATGAAAAGAAAACAGGAAGGAGGGTGGTAAGGTTTGAAGGATGTTTTTTTGGGGAAAAGTGCGGGAAAAGCCGAAAATGCATTTGTGGACCTCCTCCGCCACCGTTCGGTGGCTTTTCAACGAGTTTGGCACATAAAAGGAAGAAATTGCTTTGCTTGTCGCTGGAGAAAGTGAATTTCCTGCATTTCCACCATTCCTTCTTTGGCCCTTCGTTGCTGCTATACCATTATTATTATTGTTATTTTGGGGTTTTTAGTGTTTGCAGGTTTTTAATGGTCTCGCAATATTGTGGTTTCGCTTGTTTTGTTGCTCGCTCGCCCGTTGACATGGCACGGCATTTTGCGCTTAAGGATGCAATCCGACTTGTTGGCGTGGTTCCGCGTTATTTAGCCTTCGCCATAGTCCTTCGACTTCAGTTTGGCAGCCATGCAGCCATCTACCCATGTACCCAGCCATGCACCCACATATTTTACTCACAATTGGCATTGCCAGGAACCAGGATTATGCAAGAAAGAAAGCAGCTAGCAATATCCGCAGTCGAAAAAAAATAAAATAAGTATTTCGTTCATCAAACTTTTATTTCCGAACAGGATAGTCAACCCAGTTGGAAATTCTTTTGACAAGCTAAAAGCTCTTAAATATGATTATTGGCTGACAAGACATAAAAGATGGAAAACAATGGCAATCAGTTTAACTTGCTATATGAAATATCTATCATTATCAAAATTTATTAGAATTTTCAGTTTAGTTTTATAATTTATTTCTGTAAAAAATAACCGAACCCGAATCTAAAATTTCCTTTTATTTATTTCCTTTTATTTTCCCAATTAATCAGAAATGTGATTCCACTTAATTCCAACATTTATTTCCATATTTTCAAATTCAATCATTCCGTCGCGACTTTCTCCTCCATTAAAATTGATATATTCAATTAAAAATACATGACTTACAAACAATCGACTTCAGTTTCCCGTCAATTTACATTTGTAGATGGCTTAGACCCAGACGAATTAATGATTAATATAACGTATACGCCGCGTTAAACACTGTGTTCAGTTTAATTCCAAACAAATTCTAGTTAGGCACCTTATTTATTAAAGGTATTTCCAAATTCTTGGTAGCACAAGTTTCGAAAAAACGTTAGTTTTCGAAATTATTGTTAGCACAGTTGACCACTTTATTACCAATCGTATTTGAAAACGTCACTTGTTGGCAACCGCCGCCAAATTGAACTCCGCTTTAGATGCCGTTGTTACCGTCAACGTGCAACGCCGTACAGGAACTGAAATGTGCGGATGTTTTGGCCAAACTGTTGCGACTGTGGCCAAAAGCAGATAGCCGAGCAGAGCCGACAAATAGCCGACGGTGGGCCAAGAAGCCGAGGACTCTCAACCTTCCAGTTGCAGCGGGTGAGCGCTTCCAGTGAGCAGGTGGCATGAGGAGGTGGTTTCTTATCAGCGGCACCAGCTGCTCTGATAGGGCCACAACAGCTGATGAGTGGGCTGAAAGTGGGCGCCAAGGAATTTCTTGTGAATGGTTAACTTCCTGCTATTAAATCCTTTTAAAACTTCAAAAGAAAACATACTTTTAAAATTCCTAGGAAATTAGCTTAACTTTAGCTGATTTTTATAGCAGCATGAGTGGAATATTATTTTATAAATATTTATTAAAAAAGGAATACACGGAAATAAAAGTTATGTTATGTTTCATGCTTTAATAATTTATAATTTTAAAGGAGTAAAGTTAATAATTTTATTACAAGAACTTAAAGATATAATATCTTAAGCAAAATAAGCAACATATTAAAACTATTTAAGTTTAAGACTAGAAGAAAACTGATATTTTGAAGTTAAATTGCCTTTCCAAAACCACTGTCCGGCATTTCCCCTACAAACACCTGCGCGCATGCTCCAATTTCCCCAGCCGATGACCGGCTTTCCCCTATCTGGAAGTCGGGAAAACTATCTGTTGCTCCTGTCGAAAAAAAAGGATGTGAGCATAATCTAACCACCCGCAGGGCTATACTGGTTGTGGACCGTTGGACAAGCAATTTGCATGCAGCCTTTTTGCACACGTTCGTGTGCATCTTACATATGAAATCACTCTGGATGGACACTTGACCAGCACCTGGTCGCCGAAGCCCATCCAAAGGTCGTGATCATCATCAAAGGCGACTCCTGGTGCAGCTGAGTTTGCACTTTCGATGGTGTCACAGCAAAATGGGTGGGGGCGCTGAGTGGTTTTTACGGCTGCCTAGCAGCATGATATTTTTGGCCAAATTGAAGTTGTGTGTTTATGTTTCGGTTCATCGATTTGGCGTGCAACTCCCTTGCCACGCCCCCTAATGCGACATTTATCGACGACAGGAAACAGAAATGCTGCCATGCATAAACCACTCGAATGCATCGATGCATTTCCGCTGCACAATCAAATTACAAATATTTACTTTTTTTATCACAACGAAAATTTAAAAAGGAAAAAAAATGAATCTGGTCACGTGCCAAAATCACCAAAATTCAGCCTGCAGTCTCATTCGATTTCAATTTTCAAATATTACACCATTTTATTTGCATTTCCGTTTGCATTAGAATTTTTCTGAACGATAAATCTCAGACCTGTGACCTAATTGAATGTAAATAAGTGCAATAAGACCCAGGCCTTCAATTTCCCATTTTTATGATAGACCAAAAAAGTAGGCTACAAAAATGGAATTTAACTTTTGCTGAGTAAATTAAAATATATAAATGCCGGAAATACTGTTATTTATTTAATACATAACTGTTCCTGTTTACTAACATTATTTACTCTTAAAATCACCTTGTCTTTATATAAATTAAAGGTCCGACATTAACACTAAGCTGGCATACTTTTCTACTCTTTTTAAGCCTTCGCCATCAACCCTTGACCGAAATCCAAAAACCCTTCTTCGGTTGACAGCCATTCGGTGGCGGAATAAGGACTTTAAAAGCATCTCAAAATTTCCACATTTTCATTATGCCAAAGGGACACACATGAATTCATTTAAATATATATATATATTTTTGTACAACCGCCGAGGTGACCGCAAATGGGAAACGTCTTTGGTCAGCTTACCCCCATCCCGAAAATCAAACCCTTTTCAATGCAAAACAAGAACTAATTTGAATAATTTACTTTCGCCAAACATGCTCGCCAACAACATCAAGAGCAGAAGCAACATTAATTAAAATGAATGGCGAAGCGAAAAACTCAAAGGCCCACAAAAAAAGTAAAATAAAACATGAAACTTGTAGAACAACCTGTTAATCAGATGTTGTAGCCGTGGGTTCCAGTGGGCAAATTTCATGTTCTGCTGATTAACATTACACCGAAAGCATAGAGACTATTAAAAGTGGACCACCGTTGCACTTCGAATGCAGAACTAATTTGGGAAACGGTACACTGGGAAAATAACATGGATATAGATTATAATATCTGTACTGAAATATATAAAACTAATACTATACTTTGATTTATAAGTATAGTTTATGAATATTATACATGAAAAGACTTAAGATTTAAGATTTTTTATATAAAACTCCTTATTTTGGCAAGTGGGGGAAACAACCGCAGCCGGTGGACTGACACTGGCATAGATTTAGAATTTTTAGTGAGGAAGCTGACGTTGGATGTTGGACACAATGCCTTAATCAACCGCAAATGCAATGAGCGATGCAGCTGCTGTTAATTAGCGTTTGTGTGTTCCATGTGAAAAAGCTGGCGAGGCACGGAAAATCCAAGCGACCATGGCGGAGGAAATGTCACACGTAGTCAGATTATGTGGTTGATTCAGTGACTGCGGCTTCTGTGGCTACAACTTGACCAAAATATGAATAGGCATTTAGCATTCATTTAAATATATAAAATATATAAATAAAGATTGACTATTTAAAGCAAAGTCAAGCATTAATGATTGCAATAATGAAATGTCCAATTAACCAACCATGTCTACTTAATTAATTTGTAGTTTTTTGTGCATGACAAATGGTTTCTATTTAAGCAATCAATGGAATTACACTTTATTAAAGAGATGTAAAGAGAAAATGGTACATTCTAATTAAGTTACCCCGCGAAAGTTAACATTTCTAGTCAGCAGATGACGCCACTTCATAGTGTATTTCAAAATAAATTTTAAAAATATTTTTTAGTGTTGCGCCATAAAATAAACTTACCAAATTTTAAGTTAACATGTTCCAAACAGTTTTGCCGCCCATAATCGAATTCAAGTCAAGCAATTAAATAAGAATTTATGGTCAACCAATTCTCTGTGGTCAGCTCTTTAAGGCACAAATAAATGAAGATATACATATGTACGAGTACCCGGACACAGGGATATCTGTGTATTTGTGGATATACACGTCTGACCCAAAGCAAAATTAAATTTTGATATGGGTCTATTTATTTGGCAGTCACATGAGACACTCTCGGCAGCTGCCCTCGAAAAACAAGAAAAAAAAGAGAACCAACTCTTGTGTAATGCAAATGCATATGAGCTAGCCGAGCAAATTTTTGGGTTCTTAGCCACCTATAAAATGGATTTGTTGACACTCCAACAAAAAACCACATACTCACGTCGAGAACTTTTTAAATATGCATGAGCACCTTTTTTCCTGTAGGTCTGGCCATACCCGGCGTATACTTGATAACAGATATCTCCTTTCAACGCCATAGAAAACAATGCCAAGAGCAAGATGAATGGGGTCAGTTAAGTATAGACTTTATTCTGCAGACTTTCGACCCAAAATACTTCAGCCTGTGAGTTCTTTTTTTCACATAGAGAATAAAATTTATTGCAGCTCTTGGCCAAAAAAAAAAAACAAGTGAACCTGCCAACAAGTGAAAGCCTTAAATTCCGGCTAATTGAATCGAGCCAACTTTTCCATGTCTAAATTTAGGTATTTACCTTAACAATGAACTTAGGTGCAGAATGTTTGCTCCTGGTTTCATCATTGGCCATCAATCATGCTCTCGGTGTAATGTTTCGATTGCTTGACTCCAAGTAACCTCTTTACCAATATACGGCTTGTGTTTTCAATTTAAAACAGTTTGTTAAGCTGAATATATATTAACCAATACATTTAGTTGCATTAGCTTGCGCAGAGCCGCCTTTCTAATGAAAATTAAGGGGAAAATGTGTATGACGACCAATCCTAGTTTAATACCTGTTAGTTATCCTTCAAAACCCCCTTTCAGGTAGTACCAACAGTGCGAGTACAGAGAAGAAAATATTTCCTATATAACTCAAGGCATTACTTTTATATATATGAATTTAATGAATAAATTTAATGACCTTCAGCAGCCAAGTTCAAACGTTTAAAGCTTTTTAAAGAAAATAAACCAAGAAAGCCCTTACTTGGTACACAATTTTCTTTCAGTGTGTCATATGTGAATGTTCGCATGGTAGTCGAATGTGTCCTTGCCGTTGGCATGCCTACCGGTGTGTTGTAGACTCCTGCCGTCAAATAAATTGAAATTGAACGTGAAAAGGAGCAGCAACTGGTTGGGCATCCAGCTAACCAGTCCCCAATATCTGTCCACCTAATGGGATATCTTTTCACCCACCTACTTCGTCAAGCAGCCGTTCCATCGAAACTTGGCAAGAGTTCAAAGGAACACTACAGGTATCCCGCTGATTGGCATGCATGAGCTGCACTTGGCGGTGGGCGTAGAGTCCAGCTGATGATTTCAAACCGCCCACACCTGAGCAAGAGCTGAGAAATTCCAATCCGATTGTCATTTTACACTCTAAAGAATTATTTGTACCAAAACCATAACATAAATTTTATGAAAAATCATAATATAATAACTAATTCTTTGTGGAAATTTCTTTAAATTGAAAATTGAATGATAATTTATGTTTAATTAGTTATAAAACTCTTTTTTTTGTAGTGTATCTTCGTGGGAACTTGAAATTGAGAGTGGCGGATGCGATGATCAAAGGCTTGACACTGCTGTAATGAATGTCAGATGGTGTTTTGTTAATTTTAAATGCTGTTCGCACACCCTTGCACACCTGCCGGAAAAGTTTCTGTTTTTTGTTGATTTAATTTTTCTTTTTTAGAATTTATGTTTGTGTTCCTGCTGAGAGTTTTTTGTGTGTACTTTCCAGCAACAACAAAAAATTCCCCCATTCAAAGCAGACGTGCAAAATGTTTCGAAAGTTGCATGTGGTGTTGAGTTGGCTGATTGTTTGTTCTTTCTGTCGTTGTTACGCCTGTTTGCCATTTCGCTTTTGAAGTCTCCAATGTCATCCACATCACGGCGAGCAACTTGTGAATTTCAAAGAAAATGGAAATTAAATGAACTTGAAATTCTGAACAGCTTAGACAAGAAAAAACAAACGCATTGCCCCCACTCATAAGGCTCGAAGACAATGCGTAGGATTTTCAACTTTGACATAAATAGCAAAATAACAAACTAAACAAAGAACTTTAAAAGCTATTGCGTCGTAAAACTTAATACTCGAATATTACACATGTAAGGTAATAAAACACTTAATTTAAACAAAACAACACTTTATTATTTTTATATATAAATTACAAAGAAATTGTTAACTGCGTATAACCAACATTACACTGACATTATCTATCGCGTTTTGAATACTATATTTAGTCCCTGAAAGATGGAATAGTATAATTAATTTCATTGTAAAGTATTGTTGTTGCGAAATCTTACCCTTAGCTATTTCTATCATGTCACCAGAACGTAACACTGCATTCGCTTCCTCGTTGTTTTCTGTCACGGTATGTACAGTAAATTGGCCAAATTGCACAATAAATTTCTAAAAGACGATATTTATATTTAATAACTATAAAGTGGAAAACCTTTTTATTACCTACCAGAGGGTGCAACTTGGCTCTCTTCTTATTGCGACATTGGAAAGGCTTGAATCGTAAATATCCCAACGAGGCTTTCTCCGTCGTGTTGTAAAAGGCATAATCAATGCCGTCAACTTCGGTGAACAATAACTCATTTGCAGGAGCTGCAAAAACAAGTTGGTATGTGATTAATATTAAATTCAAATGTAAACAAAATTTTAATATCTAAATAACACTTACAAACACTCGCATTTTCATCGAATGAATTAACGGCAGCGGGTTGACTATCGCTGACGCCTCGTAGCCAGTTTATCAGTTGCATGGAGTACTTCTCTTCCTCGTCTCTGAGGGAAGGTGCCAGGGGTGTCGGGGGTACCGTGGGCTCCGGCTCCGCCGCCGGATCCATAATTATTTCTGTCTGCTGATTGTTTATAAATGGCGTTTCCAAGTCCACATCCTGGACCTCTCTAAGGGGCCTTACTGGGGATATCATTTGTGGCTCCAGTTCTGGCTCAGGCTGCGTTACTGTTGGCCCAGCTGGCTCTTCCTTTTTTTTCCGCCCTCTTTTTTTGGGGACCTTTTGAACTTCTGGTTGCACTTCCGTATCTTCCCACGTCAGGGGAGTGATTCCAAGTAATCCAGAGTTGGGTATTTCCTCCGTCTGTTCTTGGATTCTGGGTTGTTCTGGGTTGCGTGGGGTACTACTGCACAGCGGTCCCCATTTATCCGGTGCGTTTATCTGTGCAGTCTCCTTTTCTTTCGCAGCACTGACTTTCTTTACTTTACTCGATTTGTCGTTTTTAGCATAGGATTTGTTTTTTGAAGTATCACCAGCATCTTGCATGAATTTAAATTGCCTAGGATCCATGGTGTGGCACCAAGACATCTGAAGTGGTACTTGACCTCGCCGTGAACGTCTTATTCCGGCTAATAAAGAAATAATAAAATGAGTTTATTGTTATTTTCGAGTAAATCCTAGCATAATTTAAAATACACTTACTAGTATTGTGATCGTCTTCCTCCGTGGACACCGGAAACTTTAATAATTTTAACTTGTCTACCTCCGACTTTGATTTCCTCGTTTTTGCTCGCGGTGCCGGTGCCGAGGGTTTTTTAAACACTACCTCATCGTTTAACCTTTGACTATGCTGGAGAGCTTCCATCGCCGCTCGACTCGTGCTGGGAACATCGTCGGTCGAAGAATCCGGCGGAGGGGTGGGAGTGTTTACGCGTAGAGTTTCCATGTTCTCCGATCTCTCCATTATTCCATTCCCTCGAGTGTTTGAAGCATGCCCTGATTTGTTTCTCCTCCTCGATTGCTCTTTATCACTATCGTCAGTTTTTGAAGCCTCCGGTGGGTGCATTTTATCAACCGTTGTATTTTGATTAGCCACGTTGTTTTTCCGAGTGTTTTTTCTATTTTTCTGCGATCTTCTTAGTTGCCTAGAGCTAGTATTTGTATCTTCTTCGCACTCCGCTGGCTGAGTGCATTCTAATGGAGGTGGCACCACCGCGTCATTGCTTGTCTGATGTCCAATAGGGTTTAACTGGTTACTACTTCTTGCTCGGATTTGATCGTCGTTGATATTTTTTTGCTCCTCTAAATCATTATCGTCATTTTCGAATGCCTCTGGTGGATCAACATTATCTACTTGATCTTCGTTTGCATTTCGACTAGATGTATCGATCTGCCGGGTGTTTGTACTATTTTTCTGCTTTCTTCTTGACTGTTTAGAGCTACGATCATTTTCTTCTTCAAAGACCGCTGAGTTAGTAGATTCAATTGGAGGTGGCAAAACTGAGTCTTTTTTTGTCTTTTGTCCCATAGGGTTTAACTGCTGTCTACTACTCGTTCCGAATTGTTCGTCATTGAAATTGTGCTCCTCGCTTCCATCATTGTCCGGTTGTTCAATATATTCGATAGGCGGTGGAACCACTTCATTCTCCTTAGTTTTTCGTTTATTCGGAATGGCTGCTTTATGCGACCTTGTTGGTTGCCCCTCATATCCATCTTGTTCCTCGACCCTTTCATAATCCGGTGGAGGTGGAACAATATTCTCTTCGTTGCTTCTTCTAAGTGTAGTATTTTTCCTTGTCTTAGTAACGTACTCTGCCGGCGGCGGAACAATGCTAGTTATATCACCATTCGGTTCATCATGAAAACCTGAAGGTGCATCCATCACGACATCATCGAAATCGAATCTATTGCTACGGCGTAAACTTTGCATCGATTGTGAGTACCGTAGGGAAGTCGGAGGAGGCGGAACAATGTGAACGCTTCTGCTTAGTCGCGGCATTTTTACCGGAGACGACGAGTCACAATCCTCAATATAGGAGTCCCCCTTGGTGTAAAGGCTGCGCTTGCCATCCCTTGACGATTTACGTCGAACCTTTATCGTATTTGAAAGGCTCATGTAGTTTATCAGCTCTTCTGTCTAAAAAAGTATCAGAGTGGGAATATTAAGGAATGTATCTATGATTTCTATATGAATTTTATTAATTTTGATCAATAACTTACCATTGGAGCCCCGCGTTGTCGTCTTTGTCGATAACTACGCCTTTTTCGATCAACCGGCACGACCTCTTCATCTGTATCGTCGGTGGATGGCATTCGGGGCAATCCATCACGCACATCCATCAATTTTCTTCTCGCAAGTTCCCGCTCAATCTCCTCTTCCAGAATTATCTTTTCCGATTGACGACTCCTGTGCCCATTCAAAGGATATACCTCGTTCAACGAGTTGCGCTTGCGCAGATCCAAAATCTCATAATTGCTCATTCGGGTCAGCTCGTAGGCGAACTGCTCGCCGTTAATGGGAGCGCTGGGAGCCTTGTTCAACGGTATAGACGTCATTCTCGGCTTACGTTTCCTACCATTGACAGACTGGTGTAGGTTAAGGAGGCGCATGGAACTCTCCTGAGATTCGGTAGTTGTTCGAATTCGATTGCGCAAGCGGCGCTGGCGAGTTGTGTTGCCGCCTGGTGGTGCTAGATTTAATGCTACAGTACTTTGTTCTTTGTCACTTTCGTCATCGGTCATTATAGCGTCAAGATTTTTTACAACTATCGGAGTTTTCTTACTGGTTTTAAGGAGAGTAGTGTCGGTGGATCGTTTTGAAGAAGATGCGGTTGGTGGTATCGAAGAAGACGGGCCAACTGGAGATATGGGAGCAGCTTCAACCTGGATGGAATCCCTCTTCACGCTTATGTTAGGATTCGTTGTATTAATCACAACAATTGGACCGCTGGTATTCCGCGAGAGATTCTGGACCAGCTGTTCCAGTTCCTGTGGCTGTGTTTCTGGGACTACAAAATCTGGTTGGGGCTGTGATTGCCAGGCAGGTTCGTGAATTGGTCGTTGTGGTGTGTCGGGCACTACAATATTATGATTAAGTCGCTTTACCTTCACCACTGGCGTTTTGCCATGTGCAACACTTGTATTAGAGGGCGAAAGGAGCAGCTGGCCAGGAGCGGGTCCCTTTTCCATTGTGTAGGTGCGTCTTAAACCCGCTGCAGAGGGTGAAGTCGGTGTACCAGGGCGTGAAAACGGTGCCCGTCCAGAGTAATCAAGCTGAAGGACGTTATTATGAAAGGAATTGTGCCGTTCCTTGCAAATTTGTTCGATCTCAGCGGCATGAATAGATGCCCTTGTTGGTGACTTCAGCTCTAGATGGCACGACTTCTCAGCTGGTTTTTCCGCTGGTTTTTCTGCTGGTTTTTCAGTTTCCACCGTGGATTTTTCTACCAGATTTCCAGTTGCTATGGCAGGTTTATCTGAAGCACATGGTGTGCTGCTGATTTCTGGAATCTAAAAAAACACTAGTGGTTATATTTTATATTAAGGATTACTGAATATATGTAAAACTTACAAAGTTTGAGGGACTGGAAAGGCTACGAGTCAGGTTAACCGCATCCTCAAATTCAGGTAGCAGTTTGCGTCCGCAGCTCCGGGATCGACGGTGAATGGCATGACGCCGTAGTTTGTCGGATCCCGGAACATTTCCACTGCGGCGTAGTGAACGTCGATGATTGGGCGACAAGGTGGGAGACGTAGGAGGTGCTTGTTTCTCATTGGATGCCTGGTCCACAGGACACTTATTAGATTGCTCCGGGACGGAAACTTCTGGCTTAGGCTTGGGTTTCTTGATCGGTCCCTCAAAATCAAGATTAAAGTCGAGCTTGAAGTTCCCAAATAGGTTCTGCATCGGTGGCGGCTTGTTCTCAGCCAGCTTACGCAGCATGAAGGCGGCAAACCGCTCTTTATCTTTAACGGGCTGGCTGAGAATGTCGTCCAACTCCAAACTGTCATCATTTGAGGGCTTAGACCTGCAAAATAGTTATGATTACTCTTTGTTGGTATGTTCCGCCGCAAAAGGTTTACGTAAACGGGAACTTACATTTTAAAATTTAGTATTCAAATTAATGTCTTTGTGACGATTTTTACATAACCAACTATTATTTAATACAACTTATTTCGCTAAATTTCCCCAATATACAAATTACAAAACCGACGCGACGCTATTTCATTGGTGTTGCCAACCGTTAAAGACGCGCCCAATTGCAGTGCTGCCAGATGGTTTGACTTATTAGGGTTGCCCCATATTCAAAGTATATTAGAAAATAGCTATGAATTCTAAATTGATTTGTATGCTAAATGAAATGCCAATCAAATTAATAAATAGTAAGAAACTAGGTAAGAAGTAAGAGTGCACATTTGACAAGACACTCAAAACGGCAGCTCGCTTGCATAACTAAATGTTAGCGGCCAATTGGATTCTTTATTTACCACCCGGTCTTTGTTGTACGTACAACTAAATTTTTTTTTTCGCTAAATTTTGTTGTAGACATCGATAAAAATGTTCGATTAAGTTCGAATATTAAGGATATTCATTTGAGTTACGAATACAAAATTTACTTGGTTAAAAGTATACCATCTGCCACATAACTAGCTATGGTCGTCATTTTATTGTGAAATAAATTTTATATTGTCTGTAGTATCGATACTGCAAAACGTTAAAATAAGCAAAGATATGGCAACGCTGTTGTGTTCGTGGTGAATGGTTAGTCGAGCAATAACATTGCATTTCGAGCGAAATTTTGTTAATTTGTAAATAAAAGGCACCTTTAAAATGTCCAGCCTACTAAAAGTAGCCACCAGAGCAACCCGCTCTTCCTTCATACAAGTGCGCGGATTGGTCACCACAACACCTAAGCAGATAAAAGAAAGTAAGTTTTGTAGACCTCTGTGTGGTGTTTCATAACCCGTCATAGAGCGGAATATTTTAAAAACATTTGTTTTTTATATTAAATGTCAATTGCAGTTCAGGAGAAGCAGGAGAACAATGTCAGGATCTTCGAGGGAGTTAATGTAGAGTCACCGCGTGCCGATTCGATGCTTAAGTCTGCCTGCCAAACCAAATTTTGCCCGGAATGCTCTTTGGGCTTGGACATTAAACACACGGATGTGCTAATCCTGTCGCAGTACGTCCGTTCTGATGGATGCATGTTGCCCAGAAGGGTTACCGGATTGTGTCACCGGCAGCAGAAGAAGATGGGAACTTTGGTGACAATGGCCCAGAAAGCGGGACTGATGCCCAACCTCGCGCCCACGTGGAGCAAAAAGGACCCAAAGAAACGTTTCGGCTGGCGCAAGTTCAACAAGTACTTCCTGGAATCCACAATTAAATACTAGTGTTAAAAGCAATAAATTTGTTAATAGAGGTATCTGTCAGATGATTTTGATTGTTTTTATTGTTTATTTGTTTATAACGCATGAAATTTGTGTCTACTAAGGAAATTCCAAGACAAATTGTTTAGAAAAAAATAAAAGTCGAATATTTAATATTTATTTATAAATTTTTTCCCCGTGCTGTAATTTTTTTTAAACTCAAATTTGGTCACACTGCACTAGCGTCGGTCTATTTATAATTATTTTGTTCCCGCGACTTTTCAAAGCGTCTTATATTGTAAAATGAGTTTTTTGAGTAATAGCAGCACCATTCACGTGGAAGTTCGATTACGAGGAAACGTTGCGTGAGTATCACCTGCCGCAGGATTGGAATTTCATTTAAAGTACCGCCTTTGTAGCCGCTCGAATGAAAGTCGCGCCAGCATAGAGACAACCCTGCAGGAATATTTTCAATCGGCCAGAAATGTACCCAGAAATATTGCATTTTTGCCGGATCCCTTGCATGATGAAAATCAGTTAGTAGAATCCGTGCTTGTGGAGCGTGACAATGGTGACGGACAGCCTTTAAAGGCCACTGAAAATAGATTTCGCTTCCATTTCTATGCGGCCAAGCCGTGGGAGGCGCAAAATGGACTTTTTTCATCAGCAGCCTGTGGAGATTCGGATGGCCTGGATAGCGTGGTGGCGGCGAATCATTATCTTCTCCCCGCCGCCGAGTTTGTGGGCCTGTGGGAGAACCTCATTTATGAGCCGGGGCTTAAGGAGAAGGTAAGAGTAGCGCAGACTATGGATTTTTTAAATTAATATAATAAATGTTCTATTCCAGCTTCTTAAGTTTGCTCTTTCTGCACTGATGTTCTCGCAGCATAATGTAGACAAGAATGTAATTGCCTGTAACCGGCTGATATTGCTTCATGGGCCTCCCGGCACGGGAAAGACGAGCCTTTGTAAAGCGCTGGCCCAGAAGTTGGCCATTCGGACTGAAGGGAAATACGCTTACACCCATCTAGTGGAGATTAACAGCCACAGCCTGTTTTCAAAGTGGTTTTCAGAAAGCGGCAAACTCGTGGCACGACTATTCGAGAAGATCGCGGAGCTGGTCGCAGATAGCAACAATCTGGTTTGCGTACTAATTGACGAAGTGGAGTCTTTGGCCTATGCCAGGAGTGCAATGTCTAGTAATGAGCCTAGAGATGCAATGCGAGTGGTGAACGCAGTGCTGACCAAGCTGGATGACATAAAATTCTTTCCGAACGTACTCATCTTCGCCACCTCCAATCTGGCCCAAAGCATAGACCTTGCCTTCCTGGATCGCGCCGACATTAGGCTCTTTATTGGATATCCTGGCATGTCCGCTATTCGTGCCATTTACAAGAGCATGCTGTTTGAGCTTATGTCAGCGAAAGTTTTGCAGCGCGAAGGTCTGGAGGCGGAAGACGCCGAGGAGGGTCTGTTGACCCAGTTGGCTGAGCGAAGTGTTGGCCTAAGTGGCCGCACGCTGCGGAAGCTTCCTCTTTTGGCCCACGCCCAGTACACCAGCAGTGCTCTGTTCGAAATGGACCAGAAGATCAGCCTGTCGGACTTCCTAGACGCAATGCTGGAGGCCTTGGAGCAGCATTTGGCCGAGCAGCGCCTGTTGAAACTGGAATCCTTGGAGGAACTCTGAAGCAACAGGAAAGCGCACGAGAAAAAAAATCTGAATTTCCTAAACCTACTCCTAAGTCCATCAAATGCGATACTTTGTAAACTTCAATTTGCTGCTATGAAAAACAATCCGTAGCAGAGGCACGGGTCCAATCCCCATTCTGTTTGCTGCCTCGTTTCATTTACACACGACACAGAGATTTTCCCATTTCTTTATCCGGCTTTTGATGTGAAAATCAAGCGTGAAATCTTGTTATTTGCTTGCAAGCCCCTACAACCACTGCCCTTTCCAATCTTCAAATCGATATGCACGGACATCGGACATCGGACTCTACGCAATCTCAGCACTTTTGCTTTGCTTGTCGTTCTTCACATTCGAGTGGAGGAGTACACTCAGGTCCAGCACACACAGAAGCTATCGGATATTGGTGGCACTACTGCAAAAGGAGTGGTTGAGTTTGGTGGCCAAGGACGCCAAGTTATTGCTGGAGCCAGAGACGACTAATCAAATTTTTTGACGATTTGATTCTGTGTTGATGCTGCCTGTTGATCCGTATCATCCATTTAGAAGCCACTTAGTCAGTCGTCGGATAAGCTTAGTAAGGGAATCTATGAATGTAAGAGAATGCTTTCCTAGATTCAACTTTACTTTCAACTACATGCCATATATATATGCATATTAAACCTCTTAGTTAGTTTGAAAAGGATTAATATCTACAAAGAAAGTATTGTCATCATATTAATCTCACTGACTTATGAACACATTTATCAGATTATGTAATTGAGGTTCTGACAAAGAAGTTTTCCTAGCTAAAGATTTTTAAATTGAGTCAATATTTATTTAATTTGATTTAAGTAAGCTTCGCGTGGGCGTAAATATTCACTCAGTCTCAAAAAGTATTGTTTTTGTTGGGTGGCTTTAATTAAATCAGGACAAATACCCACCATGATTCGGTCGTTCGATTTGCACAAAGAAGAGTGAGGGAGGGGTCAGGGGTACAGGTGGTGGGCAATAAACCCAAAGACCGTAAAAATAGACAAGTAGGTGGGCGCCATCGAATTATGTGAACAACGGATAGCTGCAAGGCTAATAAAATGTAGATGTGTGCCCCGGAATGGGTGAGTGCGATAAAACAGATTCCTGTTGATGAAAATGTGATGCCACGCTCATGTGCGATTCCGCCCATTGTCCTCCAGCCCAGGTATATAAAATATACGGATAAGGGGGTTTATTAGCCACACGGTTACGGAAACACATCAGTAACTAAATGGGCAAAAGCAAAGGCAAGGAAACCTGAAACATTATTTAGGTACTATTTTTAGGGTGATGCTAACTTTCTATATAAAGATGGTATTCTAATAACTATTTTTTATAAAGATAGTTAACTTTTGTGAAGGAAAAATATTTTTCATTTAGCTACACAAGCTTTGAGTTTTTAAAACCATTTAAAGTTAGTGGAAAATGTATCCTCTAGGCGAAGAGAGATTACAACTCATTTGGCATTCGGTTGTTGATTTTTTACATTTTATGGTAAAACGCGTTGTTTGTCTGCTGCAGTCGTGTGTTGCAACTATTATTTATTGTTTAACGTTTTATTTCAGCAGCAAGGAGTAGGATTCTTTGAATGCGGCATCCAGTGAGTTTTCCATGCAACCATTTTCCCTATTTGTCTGTGCCAACAATTGAAAACATGTACAAGGAGGTAAACAAACATCCAACATCATTACAATTCCATCCTGCAGGAAATTCAGCAGTCTAACTTTATTAGAGATTGGAAATTGAAGGAAAATCAAAATCATTTTTTAAGCTTAAATGGGCTAGGAAAAAAGGAATTGGGATTGTATTTAGTAGAAGCACTAAAATAATTCTTCATGAGTTTTCTTAAAATCTTAGTTAGAAATTACTTAAATTTTATAAAGAATAAAAAAGTCCTTCAAACCTGGTTGTAATTCCTTCCTTAGGGTGATTCCCTTGTAAAATTCAAAATAAATATGTAATACTTTTCGGTCGATTGCAGTGCCCAAAAATTGTGCCCCATGTAGCATGCCCCAGCCCTCCGGAAGTGCCTCCCCTGCACAATCATGCAGTTGCATGGAGAATTGAACCATTGATGGTTACGTTTATTTATGTTTTCCTTGCCTTTGTGTGTGTGTGTGTGTGTGTGAATGTGGGTGTGTGCGAAGCCTGTAAGCAGCATTTTGCAATTGCATTTCAGCAATATGGAAAATTCCCATTGTTATCCAATGCGACTGCTGTCGATATTGTTGTTGCTTCTGTTTTTGTTGCTTGGAAGCAATTGTTTCTTGTTTATTGTTTGGATTTGTAAGCTTACCGTTTTGCGGCGTTAAGAAATTTAAATTTCCATTCAAACAACAATAAATGCTTTAATATTGGCCCAAAACACGATTCTATTCTGGAAATGCCAAAACAGAAATCCGAAAATGGATGCATTTTCCTCTTTACATTTGCACAAAATACCTTAGCTTACAACGGAATCGAGAGCTTGTGATTGCTCTAAGAATGGATTAATATTTCATGGAGGTATCAATTGCTGTTTGTAAGGTAATTAATTCTGGACAACCTATTTGTAAAGCAACGAAAATGTGCTCTCTCAGTAATAGGTAAATAAGGATTTCCGTTTTAACGAGTTGTTAGTCCTTAGCCTACATACTAAAGTTCCATATGCATATTAAAGTTATTCAGATTGGGTTTTTATTTTCCAGTAAACTAAAGTTAAACAAGCAAAACGTTCATTATAGAACATTTGCCAATAAACAAAAACATTTTTAATAATAATTTAAACATCAGTTACTCCATCTCTTTAATATTCTGATGTCTACCACTAAAGTTCGTTGCAGTTTAGATTTAAATTAAATTTTTGTGGTGGGTTCTGGCGCCAGACAATGTCGATATTGCGGAGCGGGATACTATAGTATATCTCTCGTCCCTCTTCTGCCCACAAACTGCAGCCGTTGCAAAAATATTCGCGGATAAAGGAAACTCGAAATTGTTTAGTTATTGAAAAAGGGTCGTTAATTATGTATTTTTGGCCAAGAATTTTCTCTGCCACTTTTGGCCAAAAAAAAAAAATGTAAAGAAATATGGGAAAAAAGGGTACGCCGGCCGCACAATATTCAAAAATGAGATACCAGCAAGATAGTCCTAAATTTAATATTGGCAGCCACCGACACGCGGTTTCAATATTTTTAAAGTTTCCTTTAATATTAAAATATTGTAGTGTTAGGAAGATTGCTACTAAGTTAGGGAGTTTGAAAAAGGATTGTAAACAGACTCGACACTCTCAGTTACCAACAAGTACATAACTATAGTATTAGATGATGGGATCCTCTTTTCGATCCTTGACAAGCATCTTTAACTGAAGGAAGTCCACACAAGGAGTGTGTACTGCAACGCAGATGTAAAGAATGTTCTGAAAAATGAAAACAATAACTTATTGAAGAACAAAAACAGTTGAAAATTTAAAAACAAATGAATGGCATTAAAATTAAGATTAATTTTAAATGTTAATGGCAATATTAGAATCATTAAACAATGTAATTTGAAAAGTATAAAAAATCCTATTATAAAAACTACTAACTCAAATTGGAATCTTGAAACTTTAACCAAAATTGGGGAATATAAAACTTGGAACTAGTAAAACTCGCGTTCGCATTTGTATGACGGGGCTTGTGTGTATGTGTGTGTTATTTATGCTTAGAACGTGACTGGAAATATGAAATGCAGCAAATGTGTTTACTTAAATGAAGTGAGTGAAAATTGACAAATACACACACACACACACACCCGCAAGACGACTGAAATGCAATGCAAGGGCGGCTGGAATAGGAGGCGTGGCTGGGTCACATCCGACTAGCAAGCTTAGGGCACATGAGAAATACGCCAAAAATGGCAATGACGCTAATCCCTTGGCCGTCGCAATTCTCACACACACACTGGTGCACAAGTACAGTGGGCACACGTCGAAAGGTGACTCAAAACTGTACCTTTTTTTTTAAAATTACGGATTTTATTTGTAGTCGAGGCGTGCAGTAAGCTGTACCAGTTTAACATTTTAAAACCCTTCTGCACTAGTTAAATTCAATTTACGAGGCTTAACTGTGGCACACAATTGAACCAACACACACTGTGCGGAAATATGTCAAATTCAATAACAGCCAAAGTGATGTGCTTCCTTCTACCGGCACCCCTGGAAACCCCTTGTCCAGGATAAATCTGACGATGAAGAAGCAGCAGCAGCAGGAGCAGCGACTGTGGCGCCAAACTCTGGACAATGGTAGCCAACTCCATTTCCCTTTTTGCCAACCGTCGTCTTGTTCTGCAGCTTCCACCATTTCTACTAGCCTTATAAAAATGTACGATTTTTCTTCATTTGATGAAACGAAATACAATTTCTCAACGAGCAACGCAACTGAACGCAAAAAAGTTGGTTGCAATTGCAATTTTCTTGCCAAATCAGCGCACGCTGCTTGGTATATTGACATTTTTAAAAGCCAATATTTCTTCGACTTGCAGACCCATTTCGGGTTTTCTTTTTCGCGTAGAAGAACTACATACAAACTACGTCCAAAGTTCGGTCGACGAATTAATTTATTTGACTTCGACAATGTATTTAAAATAAATATAAATTGAATGGGGCACAAGCAAATAGGGACAGGAAGATGTACTTAAGGAGTAAGAACTGGGCCAACCAAAAAAGTTTAAATAAATAAAGACTGCTCTTAAATTTTAAATATATTTGTAATAAATTCTTTAGCTTGTCCCAAGTATTCTTTTGTAAGATAACCAAACTGAAATAGTTTACCTTTAGAATAAGGATTGTGCTTTATTTAGCCACCTGCATTGCCCTCTAATTAGCTGAGGTGGTTAGGTCAAACCACCTTTCTTCGTTACGTCATTTGTGTCGCTGCAATTACACTGATTAATGGCGGTTAGGCACCCACTAAGAATGCCTGCGGTTTGCCACCCATTCAGTAGCCCCTTTTTAACTATTTGGGAGTTGAGTGTTGGATGAGGAGGACCATGAGGATGAGGAACCAGTGAACTGGGAATGACAGTCCAAAGGAAACTTTTTACTGGCCCAACTTTGGGCAAGCGAAAACTGCAAACGCAAATGAAATTAGTCGAAACTATTTGGGCATTTCCGTGGCAATGAGGCGGCCATCCGCTCGATGCCAATTTCCATAGGCATCGACATCCGAATCCTCGGGCGATTTTACATTCACACTGGCAAAGTCAAGTTCGTGACGCGCGTTATTTCTAATTATATTGAGGAGGGCTCTGAAGGACCACGCCTAAACTGTGCACAGAGAAAAAATTCTTTATTTAAAGATTTTTTAGTTATTTTTTCAATCTTTAAACCGGTTAGGTAAAGTTTATATTTTATATTAAAAGCTGAATAAATGAGTGCGTTTTCATGTTTTTTTTTAGTTTATTTCGTTTAAAAAAAATAAAGCCTAATCAAATTTTTTTTCTGTTTAGATTCCTACCTCCCCAGACAGGGCTCAATTTGATTTCCATTTGGTCATGAGCCGACTTTTTTCCTTGCTCGTTTTTTTTTAGTAATTTTAATTGAAAAAATTCTTCAATTTTGCCATCCATCTGACTGGCAGGTTGCTCCTGGCCCGTTTTCATCTATCAGCCGAAGAAATGTAATTAGCCTGGCCCAAACACCCTCTCTTTGCAAATCCACCGACTGTTGTCTGTTTGTGTCAACTTTTCAATTAAATATTCATAAAAAATGCAATTTGCCAGCCACTTTGCTGGGCGGAAAGATATTTCGAAATTACTTTTAAGTGCCGGCCTGCATAAGGTCAAACGGCGTGTCTAAATGGTCATTATCCGATTGATTTGAGACGGGGTTGGATCTTAGGAGAAACTAATAACGTGTAAGTGCAAGTTGCTAGTTGTTAAAACATAAGAAAAACTAAGAATTTTTACCTTGCAAATAGAAGTAAAACAGGTATTATTTTTAGTTCTAATGGATGTACTATGCATCCCTAATAGTATAGCAAACTTAAGTACAGTAAGGACTGGTAAATCCTTAATTAAATTGGTCACTAGGTGGCTAATCGGTTCTGCCAGGTGAATCGCAAGGAGAACGAGATTGGGAGTCGCTAATTCTGAAAGAACCAATGCTTTGTATGGCATCTGGCATTTGGTATTTGGCATTGGCCCTTGTGCAAACGAAATGGCGATAATTAATCATTGCTACTGCGGTTAGTTGACCGCTCTTCGATTTGTTCCGTGACCTGCGAATCGCGCTAATCATTTCAGCTACTACTACCACTACTACTTTAATTAGAAACCACAACTCTGCTCGGCAACTGGCGTAAGTTATTGGCTAGCAATGATTTGCTCCTTTTGTCCACACACAATGTCAGTGCCACATGATGTTGGCTGTTAAATTGTGGCCATAATCACAAAGGGACTCCCACTTCACGTACTGTACATTGTCCGCAAAAGGGCGAAGAATTTGTAGGATAGTTGCAAGAGCTGCAGGGGGATTGAAAGGGTTGAATGGCAATTAATATTGATTACAAATTCGTACTACTTTTTACTTACATCTGATACTGTGACCAGTGAGACATTCAAAAATATGGTGGCCTTTAGGCGACTGGGTTGCTGGGCCCTCTTAACAATCAGAATAAGCATTTTACGGTAGCGTAAGTCAGCATGGAACCAGTCATGGTTATAAGCCGCCTGGCCAATTTGCTCACTCTGAAATAAGGATTAAGAGAATTCTGTTATAAAATGTTTAATCTTCTGAGAAGTTTCGTTAAAAAATAAATCATAGCATACTTTTCAGGGCACTTACCGCATCGATGAGCCGCTGCGCGTGTGTGGCAATCATAAAGACCTGCACCATAGCGCAGAAAAGAAAAAGGACAAGCATGACCAAGTTGTCAATCTTGCCACCGATGGTCATCTGAAATCCCACGAAGCAGATGATGAAGGATGAGGACACAAAGTTGCACAGCAATGATACCCCAAAGATCTCGTTGATGTTATGACAGAGATGCAGTAACCTCTGGTGATAGACCACAACCGACTGGATGAACTCTAAGTCCTTTTCAGAAGATGCCATTCCCGCCACATGCCCTTGGATATGCCCGGAAAGGCGGATGAAGTGCATCACCACCAGAGTAACCAAGGCACACATCAACATATCGGCTGCCAGCTGACCGGACAGACACGTCTGGCCTGCTAAATTTTGCGAGACATACATCAGATAGTAACTAAATCCTGTACTCCAATCCCAGGGAACCCAACAGTAGTAGGGCAGCATCCTTTCAAAGTTCCTTACTCCCAGCCAGAAATCACAAACCAGATAGTAGACCGCCCAGTAAAGGTTATACGTCCAGATCAAAACCAGATGCATACCAAAGTAAAATTTGCTGTATCGGCTATAGCCACTCAGGTGGTACCCTATGTTATACGGTTCCTGTTGATCCAATCGTTTCGGATGCAGATGCTCCAATTCGTTGACCACTTGGGTGAGTCTCTTTCTTTGTCGCCAAATATGCCAGATTTTAAGACCCCCAACGACCACAAAACCTATGAATGATAGATTCATGGTGGCTTCTAGGAAGTTGCTGCCTTTGCTGATCGCCAGGAATACATAGATCAGTTCCGAAATGAGCACTGCATTGAGGTTCACTATCTGGGCAATGAACATCCAATGAAGCAGCTGCTCCTTCCTCCTTCCACTATCCTTGTGATCGTAGGCCAGCATTCCAATCGAAAGATAGAAAATATTAGCATACTTTAGAAAACCCTCCAAAGGAATGGGTTCTGCTTTCTTCTGATCCTTAAGTTCTTGACCTTTCTTCTCCACTGCCATGTTGTAATTGTTTAATTTGCTACCCATTGGTCCTTTATATATATCCCAAAATTAGACTGGAACTCAGACCTCCGCCATTGTCGATGATTTAATAATTTACTATTGCCACACACACTGGACAATTGACACGCCCACTTGATTAGCATGTACACGGCGAGCATCTCTCAATTAGGGCGTTGTGAACCCGTCAGTTGGTCGTCCTGGGGCGTGGTTAATTGCGCCTAACTCGAAATCGATGACTCCCACAATTAAGTGGTTTCAAGTTGCTCACAAATGTCTGCGATTAGTTCGACCCTGGGTGAGCATTCGATTGGACAAATGTCTTAACATTAAGGTGCCTTGAATTATATTTGTGTTGTGCCAGATTTCTAGAGAAAATCGAATTAATTATTAGAGTTTAGAAGTGTTAAATACAGTTCTTATTGTCAAAGTAGATTTCTGTGACTCATTTAGTTTTATAAGCCCATCTAACTCTGTTCCAAATACGTTTTTATTTTCTTCTCATCTGAAAGAAATCTTTCTTGGTCTTTTGAACATTTATTGTTTTCTGTTTGGATATCTCAAAGTATGTATTTGGAGATCCATTTATGTGTTTTCTTTATGGGCTTGCACTGCTTTTGTTTTGTCCTTGTTTTTGCTCCTTGACACACTTCCTTGGCTGAGAGTGTGCCAGTGACATGAGTCCTTGGTTTTTGCCTATTTCCTGTTTACATACAGCCAGTTGGATTCCCATTTCTTCTTTGGGGTGGCAGATGACACCCAGTTTATGTCTGGATCAACTGTTTTTCTGCCTTCTGGAGATGTTAAATTTGCAACTTGCATTCTTTTCCACTGGATGTTTATTTGCTCGTTTCGTTTTTTATGCTGAAAGTCCTTGGAATGTTGCAATTAAATTCGATTCAGGGAGGCGGCAATGAGATGACAGCCCAGCAAACCCTTTCTTTATCCCCCATTTCAGTTTCAAAATCAGAATCTGACTCTGACTAACTGACCTCATTTGCGTATCGCATTCCTAATGAAATTTACATGACTATTTCGCCGCAGCAATGTTAATGAAGAGTATTTATACACAGCTGTCTCTATATGTGTGTGTCTGTATATGTATATTTTTGCCATACGAGATTTATTCTCAAATGCAATTAGCATTTTAAATTTATCTCATGCAGGGCACTATTTTTCACTCCTTAATGGCATTTGTAATGTTAAACCAAAATTAATTTAATAAATTGTTGTTGTTGCCGCCCTTAACGTCTGTCAGCGTTATGTAATTTTAATGCATTTCTATTTGCCACTTTAAGTTTTTGCGGTGGCACAGCGCCTGCTTCTACTGCTGCAGTTTTTTTGCAGCAAATATTCAACGAATTATGCATAGAAAGAGTTATTGGAAAAAAAAGCTGTTTACAAATGATTTTATTGATTTTAATTATTTTATTTTAGTAATTGTCGGCAATCGCATAAAAAGTTAATAAAGAATGGTTTTGCGGGCAAGAGTGGACGTACTAAACTGAAGTGAAAATTAAAAAAATGCGGAATTTAAATTTATTCAAGATTAAAAAAAAACAGTTAAAGAATTTTCTACTTATGATATTATTATTATATAAAGCAAGCTAAAACAACACACATGGAAATGCACTTTCTGATTATAAACTTACTTTTTAGTTTGCATTTTAAAGGGAAAGCGCTTTCGCTTTTTTGGCAGCTCGTTTTCCAGCTAATACTTATGCAGATTAATCTACATAGCATATAGTATGGCATATGTATGCCTCGGCACCCCTTGGCTGTGGAACAAGGTCCTTGAGTTTCCGTTTGCATTTCGGGGCCGACCCCTTCGGATAAACCCTATCTGTGGCAAGAGCCAGAGACAAAAAACGGGGGATCAGTGTGTGCCTATTTCCAGTGCCCCTCCTTGCTGCCCCAGACCCCAGTAAACAAAGCAATTATGTGTATATGTAACTTGCATTGTATATGATATATACAGATTTGCTTATATCAATAGGAATGATACATTACATCGAACTATAACTACATAAGAAAGTAAGTTAATGCCACCACAAGTTTCCAGTTTATCCAAAACTGGAATCCTTTTAAATTATTAAAGAGAAGTTTTCCTATCTATTTTCAGTGCTAATATTTTGACCACCATTGTTTATGCATATACATTGAGTATAAACATTTTCATTTATTTTCGTGTGTATTTGCTGGAAGCTCTCGTTGTTGGTTAGTTTGTTGCAATGTTGCATATTATCAAAAACATTTGTAGCAGGAAAACAGAGCATTGGATGGGTTTGAGTTGGTCTGGTCGAGGGGCTGCTTTTTTTTATAAGAGGAAATAAGGGTAGTCCATGTACACACAGATATATATATATATATGTATATGTATTTTTTGGCTTCTGGCGTTTTTGAATGCTTGCCAAATGTTGTTGGCTTTGGCGTAATTGTTACACCAACACTGAAATGTGCAATGATAAGGCCGCGATGTGTATTTTCCCCCTTTTTTTTTTACCATCGCCATACTGCCCTTTTTTACCACCCTATATTTCTATTATTTTTTGGACGGGCTGCCATTGCCCTTTGCTGGCTGTGTGCCACATTCCGTGGCAGGACACACATGCTAGGAGTGTCCGTTCAGCCCCACCACGCGGTCAGCATAATAAACCTAATTTGTGTTGAGATGTTGCGAAATATAAACTGGAATATGGCTATTGAATAACTTGATGGCCTTTGAAAGTAAAATTAAATATGGCTTCTTGATAATTTAAATTGTATTCCATTATCAAAACTATTTATTACAAATTCTTAAAGTAAATTAAAGTAATTCCCCTGCCATTATGAATACTTAACACCATTTTTTGTAACCACCTTTATATTCTCTTGCAGGACCTGCAACACCTTGTGTGATTTAATAATCCTGACGTGGGCACGCTCCAAACAAGTTCCTCCATATTTCAACCCATTCGGCTGCCTTCAGTCCTCCAAACTTTTTTTTTTTTTTTTTTTTTTGGGGGGGACAGAGATGGGAAAAAACTTTGGAGCTGGCAGTTTATTGGGCTTTTACGTGGGTGAAAAAGCTTTCACGTCTGAGGGTTAAACTCGATTTTAAATGCAGTTTTCTGGTATTTAACTAATTTGGTTAATATTTCGCCAACGCGCTTTGAATTTGACTGAGCGTGTAAATTGTTAAGAGAGGAAGGGCAAGGGGTAGGGAAAACGTCTGCCAGCTGTCGTCTACTTAAAATGTTTGTCCTTGGCACATATGCCGACAGACAGAGATATATACAGATGACTTTGGAGTGTGTGTTTTTGAGCTTTGTTATGTTTTGATTAACGGCAAATCAAATCAATCGAGATAATGACTCGGAATGAAATTACTTATGTGTGCACTCAAATGAGCCATGCAGTCGGGCCGGGCAAGCAAAAGATTAATACTTTAATGGCTTTAATTATTTGTCCCATCAAATGAAGCACATTGCTCATACGCCCTGTGTCATCGTATTTCATACGATATGCTTTTTTGTTTAACTTATTGCTCGAAAGCCTGGCAAATTCAGTGTGAACTTGTCTAATCCCCCATATTGGGGACAACAATAATAGCAGCAAAAACAACACCATTAGTGGCATTATTAATAATCATAACAAATGCTCACCATGACCCAAATTTGTGCACGGACATGCTGCTCTCTATTGCAGCTTCTCCCTAAAGAGACGAACAGCAAATTATTGTTTAAATATTAAACAAGCAATACACACACACACAAACATATACACAGAGGCTATACAGAATGCATTTTGAGGGGCAAATACAATGGGTAGATAAACAAAGCCCCGTCGTCTGACTGTGGGCAAAATTTGCATAAATTAAAGAACACCAAAACCCATGCCAGACACATACAATGGGTTCTATGGCATAATATCAGGAATTTGGCATTTGATTCAAACAATTGACCCAAATTAACCATATAGCATAGGAAAGTTTAATATGACAGTCAATTGGATCATAACAGCTACTTATTTATACTTTATACATCAATAAGTCAACTATTTAAAGACACTTTTCTGGCTTTCTCTTCTTTAATAAATTACTTTGAAACTCACATAAATCATTTCATACTTTTGCTATTTTTAAGATTTAAAAAGTCAAGGCAATGTATTTTCCATTTCAAGTCGAATTCCTGATATATTGATTACCTTTATGACATGCGAAATAAATGATTTGTTGGCTTGCAATCTTGTGGTGACTCGCTTTTCGAAAATACACTTTAAATTTAAATGCATCTGTATTATATATGATTAGTGCTTGTGTGTGTGTTAGTGTGGTTGTGTATTTATATATTTGTGCTTGAGCAGCCATGCAAATTAATAATTATTCTATGGTATGCACATAATCATCATTATTGTCTAGCTCATTTGACAGCAATGTCATTTCCAGTTTCACTCGATAACCCATTTATCCCAAAAGATTTTCCACACCACCCATATCAACTATATATATATATATATATATATGGCATACAAGTTGTCTATATATTTATATATATATATTTGTCACAGCTTGACTTCAATGGCAAAATTGGCTGCACTTGCGACAAGAGGCAACCTTTTTGTAAATATTTCATTCTGGTTTTATTGGTCTGTGGTCAGCTCGCTTCTGAGGTTATAAAGTTAATGAATTGCATTTTGATATGTGTTGTGGACTACCACCTCCATTTTTCTCCACACCCCAGCATCCGATGCCTTGGGCTGTCCTTTGGACTTAATAATCTTTAAAGCGGAAGTCTTGCCAGAAAATCGAATGAAGATTAAATTAACTCATTGGATGTTAGTTTCTCTTGAACTCTTCGACGGGGGAGGTGCAATAAGGGGGAGGACTCAACTGACGCACACGGAAGGACACACACCTGCACACATTGCGATAAGCTGAGGGGAAATTTATATTCGACTGGTGTCCCCGTGGCGTCGATGGGGATATACAGGTTGAACTCGATTTCATGCATTTGTCATAA